TTGTAAAACACCCATATCCTGCTCTTAATGATACCTGGAATCTAAGTCAAGGGAGAGGTAATTTATAACTCAAAACGGCACAAGCATACACAGTGCTTGATGATTCTGAGACATAACCCCTTTGAATAATTTTCAAGAGAAAATGTTTAGGAAAAAAAGCCCTTTGTTCCCTGCCCTCCCCCTGAAGAAAATACTGAATTATCTTACTTAACCAGAACCATTCACTTTTTAGTAAAATTGAGAATTTTCATCAAATAATATTCCTGCTCAATTAGCTATTTGTCTAGCATTCTTCCATGTCATATTCTTGAAACCAACTAGATAGCCTTGCAGTACTTCCCACAGACACTTAGTCTTTCTATTGTAGTATCTTTCTTCTTACAGATCTCTGTCAGTCCAGATAAACAACATCTGAATTAGCACCTTTGAATCCCATTAAGTCTCAGTTTTGTCTGTCACTGTGGATGGTTCATATGCAGTCATATAATTATTCATATATCTGAGAAGATCTTGTTTAAGTTTTGGGGCCAGTTGGCATGTGCAGTTGTGCAGTCTTACATAATGCAGTGGCCCTTGCTGATGGTCATAGCTGAATGATAGCACTATCAGTTAAAATTCCTCACTGATGTTATATGTCAAATTTTGGGTATCTTGTGTCATGGAGATTTTATATCTTCTTTTTGCCTCAATCTTTTCTTCTGGCTTTTCAGCCTTCTTGTTATGTTTAAAAGCATAGTGTTGGCCACTAAGACCAGACTCTGCTATGAGGATTTAAGACGATCTTTGTACTTCTCAAAGCATAGTAAGTTTTGGTGTATATTCTTTTTAACTTAATAGGACATGTCCTTTGGTCCTACTTGAAGAATGTTCTGTTGCCATGGGAAGATTTGGGCTTTAGGACCAGAAACTGACTAGTGTAAGCCCTAGCTCCATCACTTCCCAGCTCTGATTTGCTTACCCTCCCCATTTCTTCATCTATAAAACAGAGATGGTGACTACCTCATGGTGAGGTTGCAAAAAATTAAATGAGACAACATGTTAGTGACTAGTGCAGTACCTGGTACATGGTGGACATGCAGTAGTGCTGGTTTTCTTCTTATTTTACTGATCTTAAGAGATAAAATGCTGAACTAAACATGGGTCTGCTCAAGTGGGCCACTTTTTATGTTCTTTCTAAACATGTCTTCAGTTTTTGAATAGCACAAGGCAAAGCAGAAGTTCTCGTCACCTGGATTTATTGGGTATACTTTAAAGTTTTTACTGAACATCTGTTACATGCCAAAAACTGTACAAGAGAGATACGGAGCTAAGTAACATAGTAAGTGCTTATACTCCAAGGAGCTCATAGTCTAATGAACAAGATAGGTAACTAAATTAATAATGATGGGTGCAATGGTAACAAAAGAAGAATGGTATCTAAATATACTTAAGGCAGTGAGGGGGAAACTTCCAGAAGAACTGACAGTTGAGGTGAGCATGGACTTCCAGGCAGAAGGAACAGTATTGACAATATTTACAAATGGACAGAGGCAAAAGAAAGCATGCTGTGTTCTAGGAAGAGCAAATAGTTTTGAATTAATCAAAAGAAGGATATGTGTGGAGGTGTAGTAGTGTGAAGCTGGAGAGAGGTAGGAGTTATATTTTCAAGTGTTTTCTGTCTTACTAAAGGTTCTGAACTTTAACCAGAAAGCAATGAAGAATCACTGAAGGGTTTTAAGCTGCAAATGGAATTTTTCAGTGTTTCACATTAGAAATAAATACTTTAGCAACAAAATAGAGAATGCATTCAAGGGAAGTTTGAGATGAGAAAGCAGAAAAATTGTTTAGGGCATGAACAGTAAGCTGGATGAGACATTGTAAGAGCCTGAGTGAAGATAATAAATGTGGGAATAGAGACAAGAAGATAGATAGGAGAGAGATTGACGTGGAATAAAGATGACTTGATAAAATCTGTTGGGGCTGGGGATGAGTGTAACAAAGGCATTGACAACAATTCTCAGATTCTGGCATGGAAGACTGTAGGGATAATAGTGCTGTTTACCAATATTATAGAAATGATGAAGGAAGTTGGGATTGCAGGTCCAGGCAGCAGCGGAAGTGAGTTTAGTTTGGGGCATATTGCATTCCATATGCTTGGGAGGATGTCCAGTAAGTAGTTGACTGTGTTCTCCAGGAGATCTGTACAACACAGCCAACTGGAGAGGTTGATGTGACCGTGTGTGAAAGTGCTGTAAGTGGTGACCCAACCCAGTTGTTCATCAGTTTCCTTTTACTTCCAATGACCAACACATATTAGATGATCAGTAAATATTTGTTGAATTGGTGTTACAGTGGCTACAGCTTTTTCCCTTGGTCACCTCTGTATATACTTTGAAAAAAATGATCTATCAAATTTTACTAAGCAGGATGCAACTTTGGGCATAGTGATGTTGGCCTAAGCAATATTTAACTCACAAATGGCTTCTTAGTGACAGACCACCACTATCACTTGAGCAGACTATAACAGAATTGGCTCTTATTATCTTATGTATTTTTCTGGTATCAGCTTTCTCAGTTGTGACAAAATTATTTGGAGAGGCCATGAAGTTCCTCTCCATGTAAGTGGGTTTGAATATGCTATTCACAGTACTAGAGCTAGCATATAGCAATTGAGAAAGCCTATTTGTTTATTACCAGCTGATCTATTTTTGGACAGCTCTGTAACAGCTTGTCTGACTCCAAAGAAATGGTGAGATAAATGCCTTCGAAAGAGTACAGCATGTTAATAACATAACAACAAATTCATTCTAGTGTCCCTCAGGTCCTAGCATATTGTAGGTTCTCAGATAATGTACATTAAATTAAGTGAATCTATATGAATTTAAATGACTCTTAAGAATTTACAGAGTGCTTCCACATATATTATTATATTTTATCTTCAGAACCCTGCGAGTCAAACCAAGTATTACTGTCATTTTAAATATGAGGAAATTCATATACCTTTAGCAAGAATATTTTATGTACTTCTGATACATCTGCAGACAAAGACAGTTTCTTTTATCATTTCGGTCAATGAAAGACCTGCCTAATCTGAATGCAACTTGTACCTCTTTGAGATACTCTTGAGTTGACTGTTTCAAGATGGCTTAGAGGTAAAATTGGCTTGAAGTTCTTGAGTGCAGTGCATCTTTTCTAGCCCTAATAGAGCACTGGTTTGTATTCATCTCAATGTAGGCTGGTTTACAAGTTAAGGAGTGATTTTTTTACTATAATACATGTAACATGATTTGAGAACTAAGATGTATAATCTGGTCCAAATATGTCATTTGGTCCAGGAGCATTGTTTTCTGTTACTTTCTATATGATACATAATATGGCAAATTGATCTTACCAAAATTTCAAACCTAGGTCGCCTACTTACAGCTTTCCAATGAGCATATACACATGTTATTTTCATGACATTTGACTTCTGTTATTCTGTTCGTTTTTCAAATGACTCATATTCTTTTCCTGTTAGTGTAAATTCCTTCTCTTCTTCCACCTACAGCATCTTTCTTTAAACATTAGGAACAGGTCCATCTCCTGTGGTGTTATCTTCTCGTCCACGTACTGTAGATCTGTTTTTCTTGTTGTTGAGGTGCTCAGCCCAGGCAGGACTCTCTGTGTTTACAGTATTCATTTCTTTTAGGGGTTGGAGATGTGTCATGCATCTGTGAAAAAATATACCTCAGCTGCTGGGTCATCTTATTCTGTTCACAAAGAAATGTTTCATTATTTTTGATATAGTTAATTCCATGACAATGATTGGATTAAGTCTGTGCAGGATGTTCTTAGCTTCTATATCCCTGCCAACCAATGTCTAGATTTTAGTTTCTTCACTAGGGGCTACTGTGGTGGTACACATGGCTTGGAGATAGGAAACATTTTTCAACCTGATTAGGCTCCTCAAGAATATATCTGATTGATTCATAAATTGCCTTGTGCCCTATGCATAGTAATAAGGTAGTTAGGAATGGTGAAGTAACTCCTTTAAGTATGAAGTATGTGTGTTATACTGGGAAGACCATGGCAATATGTGGTACTTCTTACTGTGTGAGGCCCATTTGAATTATCTCTCAGATTAACAATGTTCTGGAAATATGACCAGAATGAGGTTGGAACCACTCAAGCTGCTGACATGTTTAGTGAACAACAATTCTTTCTTTTGACCATGTCAGGAGCTAAGATTCCTTGTTTATAGTAAAAATCATTGTTGATTCTCAGAGTTCACTATATTCCCCACTTGTTGCTAATCTTCTTGCTTTTGTATGTGTTCATTCATTTGTAGAATATAAATGTCATTCGCAGAGAGGAGGTGGCTGCGGTGACAAAGGGGCCATCTGCCAACCCTGACTCTGAATGGGAGGGTCCCAAGCAGTCAGTAGTTCCCAGTAAGAGCCCAATGCCCGCTCCGCCGGAGTCTCCTCAGAGCTGTGGCCTTGGCTCCCTCTCCGTAAGCAGCGAGGAGACAGAAGAGAAGGGGCAGGGGCCAGCTGGCTGTCTCGATGCTAAGGAAATGCCAAGAGGCCCCAGTGGGGACGGTGTGGGAGTGGAGGAGCAGGCCAGTGCCTTAACGTCCTCAGTATCATCGGCTTCCCCTCAGCCGCAACTTGGTGACAGAAAGGCAGAGAGTAGTGAGGAGCGGCTCCTGTCAGGAGAGCCGCCTGGAAAGCAAGACGGATCATTTCTTGACTCTCGTGTGGGTGACCAGTTCCCCACCCTCATTCGAAGCTTCCAGGTAGTGACAACTCAGTGACACAGGTCTAACGACTCACTTTGGGAGAGGGCCAGAATCTGTTCCGTGGAGGAGGTGGTGGTAGTGGTGGTGAGGGTAGTGGTCCCTCTACTTTTTTCAAAACCATAGCATAAAATTGAAGCCCTTGATTTTTACTAAAAGAATTTATTCAGAGGATTTAACTCCATAGCTAGAAATGCTTTCTCCCCTGATGACTTAACAAAACTCTTGGGGGTAAACTCCAGCTGTTTACCTTCATGAAGCTGGTGTAAGTGTGTTGCTCTTGTCCCTGCTCAAGCGTGGGCTATGTAAAGAGGTGAATTTCTGAGACTTCTATGATGAGGGAGCCTTCAGTGTTCTGAAACCACACTGAATATTTAAAAAATTCAAATATTCTTAATTAAAAGGGGTAACCAACTTTTTAAATAAGATTTCAGGCTCCAAAAAATTATTTATGTATTGCAGCCACACAGTACTGCCCACCACTCCCACAGACCCCACCCACAGGGGCTTCCATGATCGGAGGCACTAATTTCCTATGCTAAGGTGGATGGCCACGTAACTTTATCACAATCAAATGGTAGTTTTAGGGTGATTTATAGTCTTGGGGAAGATGAGCTGATGAATAGGAAGCCTTTGATATTCCACTAACGTTCATTCTTCTGAAATTCTGAAATTAATCACCAGGTGATGGTAGAACTGATTGTTTCCTTTGCAGTTTCCCAAAACTCTTTCTTCTCAATAACTCCAAAGGGAATGTCTGACATTGATTTGAAAGAAGTTAATGAAATCAGGGGAATGCATTACATGCCACTGCCGTTTCAGTGTGGAGGGAATGTGGCTGATTTCTTAATTATAATGGGACAGTCACAGGACAAAGAGAAGTGTCTACTATTTGGCAGATAGTTTAATATGCAAATTCTGAAGGTCAGCCTGACATGTTTTATATCACTAGTCATAACTGTCTGATCTTATAGCTTTCCATCTATGATTTGACACCTTACCCCAGGGTGTCAAATAGTGGAATAGTGCCCAAGTCTTGGGCTGAGATTGAGCTAGTCCTCTGCTTGATCAGAATCATCACTTTGGTCAGATCGGTGTCAGAAGATTAGTTCTCCACAGCCCTCAGGAGACCCCGGTAACTGTTTCTTAACTGCCTTACAGCCTCCCCTCGTGAAGACTCAGACTGTCACCATCTCAGATACTGCCAATGCTGTAAAAAGTGAAATCCCAACCAAAGACGTCCCTATTGTCCACACCGAGACCAAGACCATCACTTACGAGGCTGCCCAGGTAGGATACAGTTTGATGTTTCTGAACCGAAGACCACAGTAAGCACAGTAAATAACTTCTTTCTTCACAAAGTTTCTAATTTGCCACAAATAATGTTAGGCTTTTCTGAGGCAGGACTTTTTAGAAGGTTTTACTGATCTAAGGATCCCAAACTACTTTACTAAAAACAAAATTGTCTTGGATCTTGTTGCTTATATCAGCCCAGTTCAGTTAGGGAAGGCAGTCTGTGTCCTGGTTAAGAACATGGGCTTTGGGTCCAACAAACCTGAGTTCAGGTCCTGGCTCCTCCATTTACTAACTTAAACAAGCAATTGAACATCTCTGAACCCTCTCCCCTCCCCTGCCCACCCATGGTATTACTATCTCATGATTTTATTATTAAGATTATATAAGATACAACACTGTAAAAAAAAAAAAAAGATACAACACTATATGGACTCAGCTTGAGCACCATGCCTGAAAGCATCAGTAAGTAACAACTCTAATAATTTATTGCAATTAAATTAGATTTTAGGTCACATAAGAATTTAAGTGTTTAAAATTTTTGTTTATGCCTACTTTTAATAAGATTTCTCCTTTATTGTTGGTAATTTGAATGAGGTAGAGTTGCTTTATGTTGAACTGTTTTTTTCCTTTTTTTTATTCATAGAAACCAGAAGTAAGAAAGACTTTTCCCTCTGTAAACTGAGCTGTTAATTCATCCCTGCAGCAAATATTTGTGAACATTTATATATTAGGCTAAAGCAGTGTACAAGGTAGATTAGGCCCTACCTTCTGCAACTAGCAGGAGAGATGGGCAATAAAACACATAATCAAATGTTTAAATTTCAGACATATAAATGCTATAAAGAAATTAAGATGAAGAGTTAGATCTTGTGGGGTTACATGAAAGGTTGCTACTTTGGGTCCTAAGATATTGAGGAAAATCTTCTCAGAGGTGACGTTTTGGCTGAAGCCTGCATGATGGGAAGGAGGCAGTCATGGGAAGCTCTGGCTAGGTGATTTCACCAAAATCCTTTCAGTTAATCCTCATAACACCATGAACTGGATGGTGATAGCCCCCTTTAGGAAACAGTGTCACTTGCCAATTAAAAGCATGCAGTTTGCAATTAGAAAAATAGAATTTATATCCTAGCCCCCATCATGTACTAGTTGAATAACTTTAAACAAATCACTAATCTCTCTAAGCCTCTGTTCCCTTGTCTGCAAAATGTGGATAATAATACTTGCTACCAATTGCAGGATTTGGGGAAGGATTATGGGAAATGATGTCTGTAAAGTGCTTGGCGCATTTATAGACATTCCGTTAATGTTGGTACACTTCCCTTTTCTCTCTTGTGGTCTAGAGTGTGGAATTTGAGTTTGGTACATAATAAGCGGTTGCTTAAAGTTTTTTAGCAGTGGTAATAAAGTGGCATAATTAAAGCACTGACTTTGGAAAATGATTCCTAAAGCTGTGTGCTGAGTGGGTTAAAGTAGGGGGCTGCCTGCAGGCAGGGATATGACTAGAACAGGTCTGGAGAGATGCTCAAAAGAACTGAAGTAGCCTAAGGAAATGAGAAGAAGTAGCTGTGTCAAGAGACAGAAATGAACAAACAGGACTTGGCAGTGGAGGGGATTAAAAAATGAAGGAATAGGAAATTACTTTAAGACTGTGCACAGTCAGCCAGAGGATGTAAGAAAGAATAGTTACATATGGGAAGGACCCCTTTAAATTGTGACTACCATGGAAGCAGCTTAACTGTCCAGCAATAAGGAACAGGTTAAATAAATGATGGTACATCCACTTAAGGTAATTCTTTGCAGCTAATAACACAAGCTTCTGATGGGAATAATTTATGTGGCCAATTAGTAAATGAAAAAGCACATTCAGTATGGTATAAATAATATGAGGAAAAAGTTATGATGATGATTACTATTATTATTACCTGGCACATAATAAGCTGAAGAAAGTGTAGTACACTAGCTGATAATACATACCTTGTATGATGGTGGCATGTGTATAAGATTCAGATGTCACAATCACGTTCCCTGTCTTTGTTTTATCCAGATTGCTACCTAGAAGGGAACTCAGCCAAGAACTCTTTTCCTCTCTAATTCTCTTCTCCTCCTCTTGCCCACCTCCAAACCCCCAAAGTTTTGCCTCAGTAAACTGTGGTTCCACTCCTAAAAAGATTGGAGACCTCTGCTTTTAATACAATTGACTTACATAAGCAGGCAGAAAAAGAGAGTGAACTAACATGACTTGCTGCAGGGTTCTTATGAAAATAATTGCAATTCTCTAGATCCCTTTCTGAGACAGTGTACAATACCAGTACCAGGTGTTTTCGGCAGCCTCTAGTCTTCTCGGCTCCTTTGTTTCTGTCTTGGTCTTGGGGTTATCAGCAGCTGAGCCTACTAGCAGCCTTTAGTAGTTGCTGGTAACTGTTCCTCAGGCTGAGTTTGGCCCCTGCCAACCATCTCTTCCTTCTTGCTAATGTCATTTCTCACCTTGATTGTGCTGTTTGTTTTGGTCATAATATGGTAAGCCCTGGAGAAATAAGAAGTAGCCCAGCCTTTGTCCTCATATTAGTTGTGTAGCCCAGTGTTTTAAATATTGCCAAACTCCTCTTAATAAGGAGGATCCATTTCAATCATAGTTTTGTTGTCAGAAATGTCATTGAGATATTATTGTGTATATTTCCTCCTACCGTGCCTTAAACCTATTTCCTACCTCCTTTGCTCCATTGCGATTTTCAAAGAAGATAGCCAGAGATCCCCTGGCTCCTTCTGCCCCAGCAAGGACTTTTCCTGGTCCTTCCTAGAAAGTTCTGCCCTATGATTTAGAATCCATACCTTAACACTCAAGAACTTACACCTTTCCTGGTGTGTGTGGTGTGTAATGAACTCCAGATTTGTCGAGAGGACAACTGCCGCTTAAGTTTGGAGTCCTTGAGCAAATCGTTCACCTCTGAGCCTGAGCTTGTTTACATGGCAGTGCTAATATGTCTCTGCCCTATTTATTTTGTAGAGCTTATGTGAGCGTCAGAAAAGATTATGTTTTGAAAGCTATTTATGAACTATAAAATGTTGTGCACATATGTGTAGTTACTGACCCTCTTGTGAAACCTGTGGCAACTGGACTCATCCAACTTTTTCAGAAGAAGCCCTATTGCCAGGGTATTATTTTACTTATTAATTAAGAGATTACGGTAATGGAAGCAGGTTTTGCTTCAGAATGTTCAGCTGATGAGCAAAGCCACATCCTGCAACGTTTGCCCACAAGGCTTCGTGCCGGGCATCATGATGAGTTGTGTTTCTTTCTGCAGACTGATGACAGCAATGGGGACTTGGACCCCGGAGTCCTGCTGACAGCTCAGACTATCACATCCGAGACTACCAGCAGCACCACCACAACTCAGATCACCAAGGTAACAGACCAGTGAGGGCTTCCTTCTGGAACCCAGGGCTGTGTCACTCTTACTGCCTCTCTGCAAGAAGGCCCCAGTCCATAAGCAAGGGTTTTCTGCTCCAGCCCTGAGTCCGATTTCTCCAAGTGTCCCCAGGGGAGAGGCCCTGCTGCTTTCCCCAGCAGCCAACCTAGGGAGACCCTGAGACCAACTCCACCTACTTGGGGGTCTCATAAAGTCACATGTGGTTGTTCTCTTGACACATCTGTCTGTCTCTCTGTCAGTGAATCCCCTATCTGGCAGTGGGGGTAAGTTGAAAAAGTCAGTTTAAGGGCAGGTATTGTTGGTATTAATATGCAACCAAATTTTCCAAGCCCAAAACCAGAATTTGGGGTCTGACAAAGAATTTTTATGTCATGTCTAGGGTGAAAGCCAAGGGAACTATAGTTTGGGCTGAAATATGGTTCAGAATATTATTTATGGGAGCAAGAGGGAAAAGGTATCTAATATTGGAACTACTCCCAGATAATCAGAAATAATCCATATTTGCTGTAGCATGAAAGGGAAATGCATTTTCTTGTAAATAAGAAATCTAGATTCCTGACCAAGCTCTGTCATCAACACACAGACTACTGGAAGCCAGTTATTTAAAGTGTCTACACCTGGGTTTTCCTCATCTGTCAAATAAGGAAAACTACCCACTCTGAGGGGATTGAGGACCTTTTGACATCAATAATATTGCTTTAAAATAAAGTGCCTAATTTCAAGTTGCATGATATTTTTTATCATAATCCTCTGATTTTGTCCTATTGAAAATCAAGATATACAGGAAAAGAGCAAAAAGAACACCTGCTTTGTTTACTCACTGAATTTCTGTGGTGTTTAGGAGGAAGAAAAAGGGAAAAGTAAATAGAGAATTATGACTTTTTGTTTAGCGCATTAAAGATTTTAGCAATGCAAGGTAACAGAGGTGTGCTCATTTTAGCAGGTCCAGCCAGGATTTTGGACAGGTGGATAAGAAAGCTATTCTGTGTAGCAGCAGACTAAAATTTGGAGTGGAGCTTTCCGAACAATCTCTTCTGTTTTCTTTCCCCTCTCACATGACTGCCTCTGTTTGGTTTCAGACTGTAAAAGGTGGCATTTCAGAGACCCGGATTGAAAAGAGAATTGTGATCACAGGCGATGCTGATATTGACCATGATCAGGTGGGAATGCTGAGGAGATCTTGGACACAGAGGGAACCTGGGCAGGAAGATTGATGGATGCAGGAGTTGGCCTGCAAAAGACATCTCTACTGGCTTCATGTCTAGAGAACCCCTTCTGCTACTGTAGGCCATGGAATGGGGCCAGTGGGAGTGAGGGCTGCTGGTTGGGAAGCAAGGAAGTGTAGTAGAAAGAACAAGGAATTTAGACTCAAAAAGGCTTGTGTGCAGATCCCAGGCCTTACCATATTCTAGTTCTTAACCACCAGGTCTCTGTTTTCCTCATCTATCAGATGGGTATTATGGCATTTTCCTCTCAAGATTATGAAAATCCAGTAAGATAGGGGACATGGCAGTGTGTAGTTCGTGGTGGACTCCTAGTAGATGGAGCTGTTGCTCTTCAGGGGCTGTCATGTATCTAAACCTGTGCTAGGAACAGTGGGTGATAAGAGGAAGTTATACTCTCTCCCTCTCAGAGGTCTGTAATAGCTGAGGAACAGCAGGGGTTGCCCAGTGAAATGGACAGAAACAGAGAGACTTCACTTGATTGCTGTCTGAGATTTATCACTAACTTGCTGTGTGACCTTGGGCAGCTCACTGTACCTCTGATTTTTTTTTCCCTCTTTAAAGAGAGTAGGTTGATCTAGATAATTTCTGGGCCTTTCTGAGTGCTAAAATTCTACGTTTTTATGTTAATTAGGTGCTAATTGTGTGCTGTAAGCAATTAGCAAATAATAAGGTCAGGATTAATGTTCCCAATTCTCTGTTGGGTGAGGTTAGAACAGTAAAGCTGCAGAGAAGAGGGGGTGGAAAAGACTGCATGCAAATGCTTCTGGAATCATTGACAGCTGATATGCTGAGTGCCTTAAAAAAAGAAAAGAAAAGAAAGAAGAACTGAGCTACATTGTTGGCAGCACCTTTGGTAGCAGGGTTGAAGCTTATAGCTGAGAACACTGGGGTCAGGGTCCTGGCAGCGAGGCTGCAGAGCCCAAGTAGAAACCTTGCAGCCTGTTTGCTCCAGCTCAGTGGACCCACCTACACAGTCTGATGTGATTTGAGCCCCTGCTATTCTGGGCTAGACAGCATGAGCAGTGGGATGGGAAGTGTTTTGGGTTTGGAGTGAGACAGCCCTGAGTTGCATCTTGACTCTACAGCTTGCTGGTTGTGTGCCCTTGAGCAAATTATTTTACTTCTCTGAGCTGTAGTTTTATTGTCTGTAAAATAAAGATAATCATAGGTTTCTTTCAGGATTATTGTGACATACGGACACACTTGATAGCTCAGAGAGATGCTCCAGTGTTCCCCAGTTCTCCCAGGTACAAGGGATGCATGGAAGCAATGAGACATGATGCGCTCTGGGTGGATGGGGTGCCGGTTTAAGAAGGACTGTTCAGGAGTAGTGTGGTGCAGGCCTTCACGGAGAGAGAGGTGTAGGCCACAGTAACCAAAGAGGGCTTGGGCAGGGCCCTGATGCGTGAGCAGATGGGGCAAAAAGGATGAGGGAGGATGAGCAGGGGCCTACAGAGGTGGCAGGTGCAAGAACGGCTTTCATAGAGTGGAGAGACCAAAGAGGAATTCTGTTCTTCCTTCTTTCCTAGAGATAGTTCTTAAGAGCCAGGGTCAACAGTCAGCTGGTCAGCTCCAGCTAGAGTCCTTCTGGATGGGGGTGAGGGGAGCTGTCCCCTGAGAATCCCAGGTCACCACCCTCCAAGGGCTGGACTGNTTGGAGATAGGAAACATTTTTCAACCTGATTAGGCTCCTCAAGAATATATCTGATTGATTCATAAATTGCCTTGTGCCCTATGCATAGTAATAAGGTAGTTAGGAATGGTGAAGTAACTCCTTTAAGTATGAAGTATGTGTGTTATACTGGGAAGACCATGGCAATATGTGGTACTTCTTACTGTGTGAGGCCCATTTGAATTATCTCTCAGATTAACAATGTTCTGGAAATATGACCAGAATGAGGTTGGAACCACTCAAGCTGCTGACATGTTTAGTGAACAACAATTCTTTCTTTTGACCATGTCAGGAGCTAAGATTCCTTGTTTATAGTAAAAATCATTGTTGATTCTCAGAGTTCACTATATTCCCCACTTGTTGCTAATCTTCTTGCTTTTGTATGTGTTCATTCATTTGTAGAATATAAATGTCATTCGCAGAGAGGAGGTGGCTGCGGTGACAAAGGGGCCATCTGCCAACCCTGACTCTGAATGGGAGGGTCCCAAGCAGTCAGTAGTTCCCAGTAAGAGCCCAATGCCCGCTCCGCCGGAGTCTCCTCAGAGCTGTGGCCTTGGCTCCCTCTCCGTAAGCAGCGAGGAGACAGAAGAGAAGGGGCAGGGGCCAGCTGGCTGTCTCGATGCTAAGGAAATGCCAAGAGGCCCCAGTGGGGACGGTGTGGGAGTGGAGGAGCAGGCCAGTGCCTTAACGTCCTCAGTATCATCGGCTTCCCCTCAGCCGCAACTTGGTGACAGAAAGGCAGAGAGTAGTGAGGAGCGGCTCCTGTCAGGAGAGCCGCCTGGAAAGCAAGACGGATCATTTCTTGACTCTCGTGTGGGTGACCAGTTCCCCACCCTCATTCGAAGCTTCCAGGTAGTGACAACTCAGTGACACAGGTCTAACGACTCACTTTGGGAGAGGGCCAGAATCTGTTCCGTGGAGGAGGTGGTGGTAGTGGTGGTGAGGGTAGTGGTCCCTCTACTTTTTTCAAAACCATAGCATAAAATTGAAGCCCTTGATTTTTACTAAAAGAATTTATTCAGAGGATTTAACTCCATAGCTAGAAATGCTTTCTCCCCTGATGACTTAACAAAACTCTTGGGGGTAAACTCCAGCTGTTTACCTTCATGAAGCTGGTGTAAGTGTGTTGCTCTTGTCCCTGCTCAAGCGTGGGCTATGTAAAGAGGTGAATTTCTGAGACTTCTATGATGAGGGAGCCTTCAGTGTTCTGAAACCACACTGAATATTTAAAAAATTCAAATATTCTTAATTAAAAGGGGTAACCAACTTTTTAAATAAGATTTCAGGCTCCAAAAAATTATTTATGTATTGCAGCCACACAGTACTGCCCACCACTCCCACAGACCCCACCCACAGGGGCTTCCATGATCGGAGGCACTAATTTCCTATGCTAAGGTGGATGGCCACGTAACTTTATCACAATCAAATGGTAGTTTTAGGGTGATTTATAGTCTTGGGGAAGATGAGCTGATGAATAGGAAGCCTTTGATATTCCACTAACGTTCATTCTTCTGAAATTCTGAAATTAATCACCAGGTGATGGTAGAACTGATTGTTTCCTTTGCAGTTTCCCAAAACTCTTTCTTCTCAATAACTCCAAAGGGAATGTCTGACATTGATTTGAAAGAAGTTAATGAAATCAGGGGAATGCATTACATGCCACTGCCGTTTCAGTGTGGAGGGAATGTGGCTGATTTCTTAATTATAATGGGACAGTCACAGGACAAAGAGAAGTGTCTACTATTTGGCAGATAGTTTAATATGCAAATTCTGAAGGTCAGCCTGACATGTTTTATATCACTAGTCATAACTGTCTGATCTTATAGCTTTCCATCTATGATTTGACACCTTACCCCAGGGTGTCAAATAGTGGAATAGTGCCCAAGTCTTGGGCTGAGATTGAGCTAGTCCTCTGCTTGATCAGAATCATCACTTTGGTCAGATCGGTGTCAGAAGATTAGTTCTCCACAGCCCTCAGGAGACCCCGGTAACTGTTTCTTAACTGCCTTACAGCCTCCCCTCGTGAAGACTCAGACTGTCACCATCTCAGATACTGCCAATGCTGTAAAAAGTGAAATCCCAACCAAAGACGTCCCTATTGTCCACACCGAGACCAAGACCATCACTTACGAGGCTGCCCAGGTAGGATACAGTTTGATGTTTCTGAACCGAAGACCACAGTAAGCACAGTAAATAACTTCTTTCTTCACAAAGTTTCTAATTTGCCACAAATAATGTTAGGCTTTTCTGAGGCAGGACTTTTTAGAAGGTTTTACTGATCTAAGGATCCCAAACTACTTTACTAAAAACAAAATTGTCTTGGATCTTGTTGCTTATATCAGCCCAGTTCAGTTAGGGAAGGCAGTCTGTGTCCTGGTTAAGAACATGGGCTTTGGGTCCAACAAACCTGAGTTCAGGTCCTGGCTCCTCCATTTACTAACTTAAACAAGCAATTGAACATCTCTGAACCCTCTCCCCTCCCCTGCCCACCCATGGTATTACTATCTCATGATTTTATTATTAAGATTATATAAGATACAACACTGTAAAAAAAAAAAAAAGATACAACACTATATGGACTCAGCTTGAGCACCATGCCTGAAAGCATCAGTAAGTAACAACTCTAATAATTTATTGCAATTAAATTAGATTTTAGGTCACATAAGAATTTAAGTGTTTAAAATTTTTGTTTATGCCTACTTTTAATAAGATTTCTCCTTTATTGTTGGTAATTTGAATGAGGTAGAGTTGCTTTATGTTGAACTGTTTTTTTCCTTTTTTTTATTCATAGAAACCAGAAGTAAGAAAGACTTTTCCCTCTGTAAACTGAGCTGTTAATTCATCCCTGCAGCAAATATTTGTGAACATTTATATATTAGGCTAAAGCAGTGTACAAGGTAGATTAGGCCCTACCTTCTGCAACTAGCAGGAGAGATGGGCAATAAAACACATAATCAAATGTTTAAATTTCAGACATATAAATGCTATAAAGAAATTAAGATGAAGAGTTAGATCTTGTGGGGTTACATGAAAGGTTGCTACTTTGGGTCCTAAGATATTGAGGAAAATCTTCTCAGAGGTGACGTTTTGGCTGAAGCCTGCATGATGGGAAGGAGGCAGTCATGGGAAGCTCTGGCTAGGTGATTTCACCAAAATCCTTTCAGTTAATCCTCATAACACCATGAACTGGATGGTGATAGCCCCCTTTAGGAAACAGTGTCACTTGCCAATTAAAAGCATGCAGTTTGCAATTAGAAAAATAGAATTTATATCCTAGCCCCCATCATGTACTAGTTGAATAACTTTAAACAAATCACTAATCTCTCTAAGCCTCTGTTCCCTTGTCTGCAAAATGTGGATAATAATACTTGCTACCAATTGCAGGATTTGGGGAAGGATTATGGGAAATGATGTCTGTAAAGTGCTTGGCGCATTTATAGACATTCCGTTAATGTTGGTACACTTCCCTTTTCTCTCTTGTGGTCTAGAGTGTGGAATTTGAGTTTGGTACATAATAAGCGGTTGCTTAAAGTTTTTTAGCAGTGGTAATAAAGTGGCATAATTAAAGCACTGACTTTGGAAAATGATTCCTAAAGCTGTGTGCTGAGTGGGTTAAAGTAGGGGGCTGCCTGCAGGCAGGGATATGACTAGAACAGGTCTGGAGAGATGCTCAAAAGAACTGAAGTAGCCTAAGGAAATGAGAAGAAGTAGCTGTGTCAAGAGACAGAAATGAACAAACAGGACTTGGCAGTGGAGGGGATTAAAAAATGAAGGAATAGGAAATTACTTTAAGACTGTGCACAGTCAGCCAGAGGATGTAAGAAAGAATAGTTACATATGGGAAGGACCCCTTTAAATTGTGACTACCATGGAAGCAGCTTAACTGTCCAGCAATAAGGAACAGGTTAAATAAATGATGGTACATCCACTTAAGGTAATTCTTTGCAGCTAATAACACAAGCTTCTGATGGGAATAATTTATGTGGCCAATTAGTAAATGAAAAAGCACATTCAGTATGGTATAAATAATATGAGGAAAAAGTTATGATGATGATTACTATTATTATTACCTGGCACATAATAAGCTGAAGAAAGTGTAGTACACTAGCTGATAATACATACCTTGTATGATGGTGGCATGTGTATAAGATTCAGATGTCACAATCACGTTCCCTGTCTTTGTTTTATCCAGATTGCTACCTAGAAGGGAACTCAGCCAAGAACTCTTTTCCTCTCTAATTCTCTTCTCCTCCTCTTGCCCACCTCCAAACCCCCAAAGTTTTGCCTCAGTAAACTGTGGTTCCACTCCTAAAAAGATTGGAGACCTCTGCTTTTAATACAATTGACTTACATAAGCAGGCAGAAAAAGAGAGTGAACTAACATGACTTGCTGCAGGGTTCTTATGAAAATAATTGCAATTCTCTAGATCCCTTTCTGAGACAGTGTACAATACCAGTACCAGGTGTTTTCGGCAGCCTCTAGTCTTCTCGGCTCCTTTGTTTCTGTCTTGGTCTTGGGGTTATCAGCAGCTGAGCCTACTAGCAGCCTTTAGTAGTTGCTGGTAACTGTTCCTCAGGCTGAGTTTGGCCCCTGCCAACCATCTCTTCCTTCTTGCTAATGTCATTTCTCACCTTGATTGTGCTGTTTGTTTTGGTCATAATATGGTAAGCCCTGGAGAAATAAGAAGTAGCCCAGCCTTTGTCCTCATATTAGTTGTGTAGCCCAGTGTTTTAAATATTGCCAAACTCCTCTTAATAAGGAGGATCCATTTCAATCATAGTTTTGTTGTCAGAAATGTCATTGAGATATTATTGTGTATATTTCCTCCTACCGTGCCTTAAACCTATTTCCTACCTCCTTTGCTCCATTGCGATTTTCAAAGAAGATAGCCAGAGATCCCCTGGCTCCTTCTGCCCCAGCAAGGACTTTTCCTGGTCCTTCCTAGAAAGTTCTGCCCTATGATTTAGAATCCAT